ATTATCACGCAATAATCCCCGTTTATGGGTTATCGCATGATTTCGAGTGCAATTTGGTGTTAATAAGCAGGAGTAAAAACAACAAAATTGCATGAGCCCTTAAGGCTCGTGCAATATATAATCATTGAAAACTTTACAAGTGCTTATTACACCAAACTGCAAGAGAAATCATGTTACTACTTGTAGATAATATACATAAAAAAAACATTTAGGAAAGTCAAGGCAGACGAAGTTTTGAGAGTGTGGCGCGTGCTGTTTGTAATTTGCACTCGTGTTAAAACTTTGCGGTGGTGTTACAAGAGAATGCACTCGTTTTCAGCCAATAAGCAGGGTGTTATTCATGTACCTTACTAAAATGGAAGCATCACGTGCAAAAACGGTTTTACGGGAAGCACAACACTTGGCGGGAGAAACTTTCTCCTTTGTCATAATACCTCAATTCTCCATTGAAAAACAACATGAAAACACTCCAATATCTTATCTTCCATTTTCATTTATTCTATTTTAATATTATACATAAAAAGTAGTAAGTTTCTTACAATACAGCGCAGATAAAACACAACATCAACACTATCTTCATACAGATAATCACTTACTTTTTCCCATAACATTAATTTATATAATCACTTTATTGGATAAACATTCTGGAAACTTGGTCTCGTTAAACAAAGGTAATGCCTAATATCCTTACCGAATATTAATTTAGTGTTCGTTGATTAATTTTCAAAAGTTATCAGTCAACTCTAAAAAAAACATGTTTTTTGTCAGGTTTGTTATCATAAATTGCTTATTCATTCAAGACATTTCATATCACAACAAAATCCGAGGAAGTCGGCCATGTGTAGTACTTGATTACACTGATACACGCCTTGACCGTTAGGCAGGCAGTCAACCACGTAATAACAAACATGTCTATCGAATTTGCACTCCAGTTTATGATTATCATGCGTGCCAGAATATAATTCTTCGGTAATCGCCTTATTCAGACAGTTCGCCATGTTAATTATACTTTGACTACTACATGTTGCAAAATTTTTAAATGTATACGGGGTCGGACCAGGTCCACTCCTTCTAAAACGGCCATGACCTTAAGGCAAAGAAACAAATCTATTACCAAAAATGATACTTCTAACACCATCCCTTTCTTCTAACACCATCCCTTTCTTGGACACCAGTTGTTCATAATGTTTCCATAATTCTTTTTTTGGAATTTTTTTCCTTCAAAGGTTTGTCCTACTGAGCTAATATGAAAATCGTTGACACACAGTAGTAAAAAGAGAGAAAACTAGAGAAAAAAGTAAATAGTATTTCATACAATATTGTCGAATTACATTTGTAGCACGTCAAATTATAAAAGTCTAGGGACAAATTAAGTTAAAACGCCTGTATATGACATACATATCATCAATTACGGGCGGTCGATTTAGTTGACAAATCTTCTTTCAATATTAAACCCACCTCTACTAAACGAGCTCACACTAAAATCCAACGACGTTTGTTCAATGGTATAGATTGGAAAACTGCCACAGAAATCCAGAAACTTCTGAGGCAAAGCTGATCGCTGCGCAAAACCCTCCACTCTCCAAGCCCTTTTCTTGGTTGTCACATGACGGGGTAAGCGGGGCTGCATCGAGGCCTGTACATGAGGAATGAGAAACATGGAACCGAGACAATAATAGGCTAACAATTTAAAAAATGCTCCAAAGTATTAATTACCTAGACACGCGTTAGCTCATGTATTATGTAGAGCGGCCGTCGGTTAAAAGCTAGTTGGCAGTTCTATTAACAGCATGCAATGAAATTTGCATATTATTCAAATCTATTATGATTTCGTTAGTTGAAGAAACATGTGTCGCTGTGTTAAAGATTTGAAGTGAACCATATGGGCAGTGGGACAAATTTGCATCGGAGCGGAACCTCCATAACCCACAACTGAGGCTGCCTAAATACGGTACATTCATTGATCTATATACATAGTTGTAAGCAATAAATAAATGTTAGAGTCTCGCATCAACATAATTTGTTTTGTATAACTCTCCTAGCTTCGGTTATTGGACCCTAACTGGAGCTGTCATAACTATTTTCCGACTTTTTGAAATGATTTCTTAAGTGGTCGCTGGAGGTAACTTAAAGGTTATAAGGATTAGTATATTGACTGGACTAAAAACGTGGACTGCGGCTGTGTCACAAAAGGGAAAGAAATAAAGGTCATATGAAAAAGTAAAATCCTCTTCAACAAGTAAAAAGTTCTAAATGCCATAGAAAATTATAATGTCTGATTTATAATCTCTTGACTCTACCTGTTCCATGTTGACCCTCATCTTCCCTGGTTCTGGAAGAGATGAATCCAGCTTAGATACATAGCAAGCACGTGCTGACGGCACTCGGTAAACAGACAAACCCTGAGGAAAGATGTATTTATATCTTTTTAGTTTGTTCATTCTAACATTAGTGCAAATGCTGAACCGCCTACACAGCTTGGTATTGTTTACATAAACTCGACCTTCCATCGATCGCAGTGGTGTTTTGCATGTCACACGCGCCGTCTTTTTTTAGACAGTTGCGAAGGAGACTAGGTAAACTTTGAGATGAAATTATTCTGCTTGTCTGGCTTTTATTACGAATGTGTGTGCTGCAATCAATCTACTTCCCTGAAAGGCGAGTAGAATTAGGCTTGCATACAAATATCCGGATATGCCGGAAGATCTCACGTAAGTCTCTGTGCATAACTGTCAACAAATTGCTGACATTTGACGACAATGATTTATGGTTTACGGGTCCAATTTTGTTAATATTTGTTTGAAGTAACCTGATTACAAGTATTGAAAAAAGTAAAGAAATTGACTTAATGTAGTGCTGTAATTTACACTTTCTCCCTAAAATTTAAAAACCCTACCTCTCTAAAGTCATTCATCATTTCCATGGCGTCCACATCGTTGTGCTGAGGAACACGTAACACTTCGGTTTGATTGTCGACATCCACTTCTACTTCTTCGGTAAACGCTGCTCCATTTTCGGAAACACGGTAGGAATAGCTCCCAGTCTGTCACGTTGAAATAGCAAATGATAATAATAATGAAAAGTAACCTTCATAAATTCAATGAACTCGATCGGTTCAAATAGCTCAGATATATGCTGGTCAAGAGAATAGTAAAATAATTAATCAAAACTCACAATGCAGTTTACTTGCACTCCATTCAAGGTGATCAAAAGAATGCTGATCAGAAAGACAATCTGGAAGTCAAACACAACTTTATTGGTTAGGAACAGAAAGGCGCTATTAAGCAAGTTTCCCTGTAGAAGATGCCATGATTTAGAACTATTAGTTATTTCGTCGTTTGTAAAGTTTGTACAAATGTCGCACTTGTAGCACGTAGCAGAAACTATTTGTTATATTCCAAACGGAGAAACAAGCCTGGCTGATTGTATCAATAAACAGTCTAATGTAAAACACATTTCAAAGATGGGATTTCAAAAGAGAGCTAAAGTACATACCATTTTTGTTAACAGATATACTGTGATGATTTGAACCTTTGTAGATGATGAGGTGAAAATCCGTCAGAACTCATCCAGATGGAGGCTAGAGCCGGTTATATGCTGAGCGTTTCAGCCGTGCCGACACGGAAATGATCAGGCTGAAATGAGATTGTTTGGTCACCATTACTAATGGAAGCTTAAACGGATGTAGAGACTGACAGGTAATACAAAACGTGGCTTGGTTCACCAATTAACGCTACCTTTTGGCTTAAGGAAACTCATAATTTTGGAAAACAATCCGGTTGAAATGTTTGGCATTCAGATTCATTCAGATTTGACCAAAGAACGGCTGGAGCGCTCTTTTGTTCGAAATCTATTTTCATTTCCCCCACCTTGACGAAGTTACACTCGCGCATTGCTTTACGTAAGTGTTCCTTCAAATTCGATAGAATCAACAACAACCCATCGAGTTGTGTTACAACCCTTCAAGAAGCCGAAATGTCACGAAGATTTAAGTCACGCTTTGAGACATACAATTGAAGCACAAGGTTGACAAGTTTAGGTTTTTCACCAAAAGATGACCACATTACTGATTACCAAAAAATAGGTTTGGCCTCGGAGACCTGAATGCCGTTGCATACCGGTATTTTTTAGACGCTCAGAGACGCTCATAGCGGTAAAATAAATGTCACCAGAAGCTCTTATTCTATTGGAGGAGGATACCGTAAGCAATTCACAGTACGTATCCGAACTGATCACGGAAGTTTAATGCAGACAAAGTAGTTACGTAAATGTGACAAAAATGAGTTTTCATTGCTGCAAAGTGCGATCTTATTTCAGAGAAAATCAGTTGCTTTTCAGAGAATAAACAAGTTTAATTTCCATCATGTATAAATCTCAGCCCGTGAGGCCTCGTCACGCACTCGTCAGTTGCTGCCCCTCGCAAAGAGGAAGTTTCCTGAAGCTACCCGTCGCAACTGGCTTCTTGGATATGATGGTGTTTTTTATTTCATTTTTAGATTATTTTGCTTTAGATGCACGCGTGCAATAAACCTAAGACGAGATAAAATGAAATTGAAAAGAATCGCAAAAGTTGAAAATGATTTTTCTTTCGTCCATAGTCACGTGCCTGTGGGGTGCCACCTTTAACCTCAGTAAAAGCAGATATTGAAAGAAACCACAAATGACATGATGGCCATTACACTGTGAAACTTATGCGCAAGATTTTTGTGTACATCTGATACACGTTGTACTTGGTTTTAACTGGAGAACGTGATGAACACGGCCTTCATGTCAGTTGAACAGTAAATCACCACTACAATAGCTGGAGCGTCATGATAAACTGTGTAGATGCAGAGGAAAAGGAAGAAGCAAGTGACCCAGGAACAAAGTGGTAAACATGACTTACTACAGACGTGACCAACATGTTAAGGAACACATTTCTCTTAAATCTTTCTGTTTCCTCTCAACGCTATTAATTTCCTTCATCGATTAAATCAACAAAAGGAAATTTTGAAATCGAAAAATAAATCTCACCTTTTAAGGTGATATCTACATTCGGCCTCTTAAATGTGATGTGATTATGTGTCTAGAAGCTATTGAAGCGTTAACTCGAGCTTGTTTGGAAATTTGTTGTGTCATAGAGAGACGATTTTAAATGCGAAGTCGCAGCAATTGGAGTGCGTACTCGGCGGTTTTGTTGGGAAACGTTTGACGGAGTTGCAAAGCAGCAAGGGGAATGAATAACATAGATTCACGCCCCAGGACAAGGTGGAGCGAAAATGGATTAAAAAGAAGAAAAAAAACCAATTCAACGATTTTAACGTACAGTCCGACAAAATATTGCCATATCGATCGATGCGACTGTTGTCGTTTTCGATTTCAAGACTTTGAAGCCCTTTTCTTTCCAATGAAGTATTCTTACGCCCACGCTTTCTCATGATGTGGAATTGAAGTGTCATGACAAAGGAAAAATCTTTCTCCAGCACGTGTTGCGCTTCCCGTCAAACCGTTTTCCAGGTAACGTTTTATTTTAACACTCAGCCAGGGCGAAACACTCCGCGCGATGAAGATTTTTTGCAAAGATTTGAGCTCTCTTTTATGCTTTACATTTTCTGTGTCCAGTAACAAATGAATACTGTTCAGTGAAATAGCTCCTTCGAGCCTCCTTCCAAAAAAAAAAAAAAAAAAACTTTGAGACAGTGCTTTGCCATAAGAAATTGATAAATTGCCAAATTTATTTCCTGATATCCGAAGTGACGTTCAGGTAAAATACTTGAGCAAGATAAAACATCCATTTACAATACAGTTTTCATACCCACACCACTCCCCTGGAATTAGACAACAAGTTTTAGAGTCCGACTGCACACTTGGTGATAGCCCTAACTCTGCAGACTTTGGTGATGGACAGCACGAGAGAGCTTCCCGTTTAACTATGCAGAGAAGCAGAGAATGCTGTCAAACCTGGTCCTCAAGCCAGAAGAAAGAAGTCAGCTGACAATACAGTGCTCGTGGGCACCAAAATGCACATCGGCTGACAGCCCTTTGCTCATGGAGTTTGATAATAGCCATCTTAACAGAGCCCCTGTTACGTTCCTGCTTCTATTTATCAGCAGTTTTCACTCTTTCGCCGCTGCAGCTATTGTTGAGGAGCTGGGCCTAAATAACATTTAAGAAGAGTTTTTTTTTTAAACTGAAAGTATCTCGGAAGACAGAAAGTATTTGAAATTATGTCACCCACGGCGTGGAGAGGGTACTGAGGCAGACTTTGAAGTCCAACAACCAGTTATCCAGTTGACTGTTAGAGAATCGTAACTGACTTATACGCATTGGAATCCGTCTGTGAGCAATCTAAACTGTTTGGCTACGAATTAAAAAATAAAAGGAATTTAATAACCTTGGTACTGATTCTGTATTCTGTAATAATAGAGGATATGACATGGCCGCGTTCGTGGACGTGAATTTGATCTTCGAGTACAGAGGGATTCGTATGCGTGGTGTCCTATAAGTCCTACTGATTGCATAAATATTGATTACATATAGAAATTGTATTTAAGGAGGCCTAATGAAGATATCACCTGAACAAATTACATTTATTTTTCGATTCAAAATTTCCTTCTGTTATTTTTCGACAATAAAGTAAATTGATATCGTTGAGAGAAAACGGAAAGATTTAAGGGAAATATGTTCCTTAATATCTTCGTCACGTCCACAGTGATTGATGTTTACAACTATGTTCATGGGTCACTTACTTCTTCCCTTCTACATCGTTTATCATGACGTTCCAGCTATTGCAGTGGCGATTTCCTGTTCAACTGATCTTACCAAATGTCGTTACGTGCTCCAGTGTAACCAGGTACAACGTGTATCAAACCTAAATCTTCCGCATACTAAGCTTCGCTGTGTTATCATGTTGGCACCCTACTGACACGCTTTTTTGACAAAAACTTAACCATTTCGAATTCAGCAATCCTAACTAATTTTTTTCCCTGCCAAATTTATTATTTACTTCCTCAGAAAATGAAATCCAAGAATAAGATAAAAATCACCATTTAATCTTAGAAGCCAGATGCGACCGTAGTTCCAGTAAACCTCTTTGCTTAGGAGCTTAGGAGCATCAATTACGAATGCCAGACGAGACCTCATTAGCTAATATTGGCATTGAAATTTGTCTTTTTTCTCTCTGAATAGCTTCTGATTTGCTCTAGAATTAAGAACGGTACCTCACAACAATGAAAACTGAAGTTATCTCTGCCATACGTTAATTATTTTGTCTGAATTTAACTTTCATGAACCCCTTCAATGAGTGAATGAGAATTGATCAGTCAGGATATGTATTGTAAATTGTAAACGGTATTCTTGTCTAATAAAGATGGAATCAGAGCTTTAGGCCACATTTATTTTTACTTCTCTGACAACGTCTCTAAGCGTCTAAAAACGACAAATCTGAAACAGGAGTAAGATCCCCGAAGTTATAGCTAAATTGTCACGCTTGTACTTCAGTAGTTATGTCTAATGTTCGTGAAATTGCGGCTTCTTGAGGAGTGGTAACGCAACTCGTTGGATTTTTTAACGGGAATGTATATAACGGTGTAATATGTGACCAACATAGTCTATATAGTGTAAGATTTTACGCCGCTAACTCAGTCGGTAGATTAATTATAACAAGTTAATATATGATTAAATTATATTACTGACGTAAAAATTACGTTATATATATCACCGACTGGAAGAAATTAGGCCGATGGTTACTGGCGTAAAATCTTACATATATACATCACCGACGAGAATAAATTGCGCCATTAGTTAGTGGCGTAAAATCTTACACATATACATCGCCGACTGGAAGAAATTACGCCGTTAGTGAGTGGCGTAAAATCTTACATATATACATCGCCGACTAGAAGAAATTACGCCGTTAGTTACTGGCATAAAATCTTACATATATACATCGCCGACTGGAAGAAATTACTCCGTTAGTTACTGGCCTAAAATCGTACATATATACATCACCGACTGGAAGAAATTACGACGTTGGTGACTGCCGTAAAATCTTACATATAAACATTACAGACTGGAAGAAAGTACACCGTTAGTTACTGGCGTAAAATCTTACATATAAACATTACAGACTGGAAGAAAGTACACCGTTAGTTACTGGCGTAAAATCTTACATAGAAACACCACCGACTGGAAGAAATTACGCCGTTAGTTACTGGCGTAAAATCTTACATATAAACACAACCGACTGGAAGAAATTACGCCGTTAGTTACTGGCGTAAAATCGTACATATAAGACAACCGACTGGAAGAAATTACGCCGTTGGTTACTGGCGTAAAATCTTACATAGAAACACCACCGACTAGAAAGAAATTACGCCGTTAGTTACTGGCGTAAAATCTTACATATATACATCACCGACTGGAAGAAATTACGCCGTCAGTTACTGGCCTAAAATCGTACATATTTACATCACCGCCGACGGGTATCTACAAAACGAAGACCGAAGACCAAAGACCAAAGACCAAAGACCGAAAAACGAAGACCCTAATTTTTTTGCACGAATAAGGCACGGACAGTGGCGTAAAATCTTACACTATATAGACTGTGTTAGTCGCATACTACGCCGTTATATATATTCCCGAAATTACGCTTTGTCAGACCCCGGGGAAAGGGGGGGGGACCTCCTATACATTGCCTGTAGGGGTATGTGCTGCCCGACGGGGTCATGATTTCGGAGCTCCTGATTTAGAACGAGCTATCCAATTTTATGACGGAGCTTCGGTTCGTGGGCGTGAGTTTCCGATCCTGTCGCCCACTGACATAAACCATATGCGAAACCTGTCACTGGGTCAGTTATGGTGCTAGCTTTTATTTCCGAATTCCTCGAAAATGAAGCTATCGGCGATGAAAAACGGTTTTCCTTGATTTATTT